GGGGGTAGGGTAGAGTACCCTAGTCGTTCTTCTCTGGCTTGTTGGACTTTAGCTTTAGATGGCTTAGGGGGGACGGGTGGGGGAGGTTTTTTTGCAGGGGGAGGGGCGCTCGACACTACGCTCTGAGTAACTCGTTTGATTTGTTCCTCTTCACGACGCCGCCTTTCCTCCTCTCGTGCTTTTTCTTGTTGCCTCGCTGTTTCTTCGACGCGTCTTCGGACTTCGTCCTGTCGTCGGTTATCTTCGGTTTTTCGTCGGAGCTCATCCTGAAGTCTCGATTCTTCTTCTCGTCTTCGTATATCCTCTTGTCGTTTAACYTCTTCTTGTCGTCTGCTGTCTTCTTCATAACGTTTTCTCTCCATAGTTCGTCTGCGCTCAGCGTCCCATCGGCGGTCTTCTTCGCGTTCTTGAGCCCATCGTCTTTCATCTTCGCGCCGTTGATCTTCAAGACGTCGCTTTTCTTCCTCTTTCYTACGCTCTTCTTCAAGTCTTCTTTCATCTTCTCTTCTCTTTTCTTCTTCTCGTTTTCGCTCCTCTTCTCTTCTCCTTTCTTCTTCCCTTTTTCGTTCTTCTTCGCGTCTTATTTCCTCCTCCTTCCTTCGCTCTTCTTCTCGCCTTTCTGCTTCACGGCGCTCGTCTTCCCTTCTTCGTTCTTCTTGAATTCGCTTCTCTTCTCGTTCGCGCCGCTGACGCTCTCTTTCATATGCTTCTTCCTCTTCCATTCTGCTAAATTCGTCTCTCTGGGAAATCGAAAAAGAATTACAGTAAAGCCAGTGTTGTTTAACACAAAGCGCACCTAATAAGTTTTTTTTTGTATCATGTTGTCTTAACTTCAAGTATACAGGAATCTCAAATGAAAATAAATACCTTTCGGGAATAGAAATCCCCATCTGATACGTAGCCATTGCCTCTTGCCCTGTTTCCGCCCTGAAAGAAAAATACTTATTAGCGCACTAGTCAATTGAAACTCCCGACCCCCGGGACTAGCGTTGTACTGAACGGGGACGTTACGCGTTTTTGACGTGCTTTTAACAGCACGCGTCGACGTTTGGTATTTTCCCGCTCTTTTTGCAGCTAATTCGGTTATCAATTGGCCTGTCATACTTACTCTGTAATAGCGGTCGTCATTCTCGTAGTCTGAAATAYAAATAAAACGAAATGAGTTGAATATAAAAGCTGACATGAAGTCAGAAAACTCATTTCCACAAAACAAACCCGAATAATTTTAGCAGTCAGTACAAGAAGCCCTAAATAGTGAAACGAAAATATCCCGATTGTGTCACGACAATACYCCGAATATGATCCGAAGAAGGCTGTCTCTAACGGTGTTATATTAACASTTTGATACATCTCGTCGAAAGAAAAGTTCGGAAACGTTCAAGGGACGACCCGAGTGCGTTCGGAAAAGTTCGATTGACCTGAATGCATTCCGACCATTTTCCCGACGATTCACCTACCTAATGGCGGTTTCGAAGCGATTGTAAGATCAACAGTTGTTCCTGAGCTCTTGATAAGGTTGAC